TATCGTTTGGTGTTTTCCTATTTGCAAGACTTGTTCTTGCAACCCAATACTACGTTGGGTGTTGGCGGGAACTCTGAGGCACGCTTGGGTTCCGCAAGTGTGGAGCTTGGGAATTTTTCCCGTCTCCGCGCATGCTCACTTGAAGCGCAGGAATGTGTTCGCGATGGGATTCGACAAGACCCCAATTTTTAGCGTGTGTGTGGGTCTCCTTCAGGTCTGCAACCTGGAGCAATGTTTCACCCACGCGACGAATATTTAATGCATGGATGCAGAGACATCATTAAAAGTTGTATCAACGACAACAACGTTTTCGATTCACACGCTCCTAATTAGGAAAAATAAAAAGTCGAACATGCCAACACTTTTAATGCCCTAGGTAAAACAAGCACCCTCCGAGACCTACCGGACCCCGCTTTCATCCGCACACGATGCATGTTAACCATAAAGTGATGCCGGCATGAACGCACACATGACGAACCAAGTGTACCCGGACACATCTGGTCAGAACGCTCCTCACCGACACCCACAAAACATGTCAGCGAGAATCAACATGTCACACATCACACCCCCCACCTCTCCCCGGGATGCGCCAACACCCTAGCACTAACACCCAAAACACGTTGTTCCAGCGCCTTCCGCCCTCTACATTGAGGTACCTCCCTCCCGCGCCCCTCCCTCCCGCGCCGCTATCCTCCCTTTCACGCGTCTCGTCATCCCGTGGAAGCTAGGCTACTTCTGCCGCCATTCGCTCATTCATGTAGCCCCGAACCCCCACCCGCCCTTTTAGTGTACCCACCACGGCCAGAATCGCATCCCCGCGCGCCCCNCAACACCCTAGCACTAACACCCAAAACACGTTGTTCCAGCGCCTTCCGCCCTCTACATTGAGGTACCTCCCTCCCGCGCCCCTCCCTCCCGCGCCGCTATCCTCCCTTTCACGCGTCTCGTCATACCGTGGAAGCTAGGCTACTTCTGCCGCCATTCGCTCATTCATGTAGCCCCGAACCCCCACCCGCCCTTTTAGTGTACCCACCACGGCCAGAATCGCATCCCCG